CCAAAAACTTCAAAAAATTATAATAAGAAGTACAAGATGATACAAACAATGTATGTGTACAACTTCATATCACACATGAATATACGTATATAATCAGGGTATATAAAGTTTCATGTACATATAATAAATTATTATGTAATCATAATAATGATGATAATGGTAGTGATAATAATAAGAATAATAATAAAAAAAAGAATTATAATTTTATAATTTTCATTAAACATTAGATATATTACCTGGCATAAAATATACATTATTTTCATAAAAATAGTAATTGTTTTAAAAATATTTATACACCTGATTTCATTTTAGTTCGTTTAATAAACAAAGTATTTGTTTGAACTTTGAATTGTTATTTTATGATGTAATCAGTAATCAATAGTAGTAATTAATTAACATTATGTTTGTTCGTTGTTATCATAGCTAAAAAATTTCACATACAAATATTATGTTATATATATAATAATTGTTTATTTATTAATTTTACATTATTGCTGCTATTATTACTACTATTATTATTATTACTATTATTATTATTATATACTCACAGTAAATTTAATCCTTCCAGAGCATTTGCAACATCTCCACTAATATCTTCAAACAAGGATGAAAAAAAGAGAGACAAAAGATTAGAATTAGTTCTAGTTGTGCTTGTATTTGTAGTAGGTCGTTTGTAAATATCAATACTATCCACTGGTGGTAAAGGATCATGTGAAAGAACAGAACCATCATTTTGTACCTAAAATTTCATGAGATTTCATTTTAGTATAATATAGATAAAAAAATTTGGAAAGTACAATAAAAGTTTTTGTACCTCTTGCACGTTTACAGTAATATCTTTTATATCAGATAATATAATATGTCGTAAAATATTTCTTGGTAGTTTTCCTTGGTAACGTTTGCTTCGCTTTATTTCACAATACTTTACATAATCATCTTTTGAATCAACACGATTTAGTACAATATGTACATTCTCACATAACCATGGTAAAAGATCTGTTTCTTTCCACAGACGAAAGTTACGTACAACATATAAATTTTGTAATTTTTCTAATGCTGGTGAAGTTGAAGTTACTGCCTTAGTATTAAAGAAATTATGAGTTTGTACCTATAAAACATTTTTACTTAATAATTTTTCAATTTTATATAAATATTTATTAAAAATTTTTTTATTAGTATATATAATATATATCAAATTACCATTTTATCAGATTGTATACTACATTTTTCTAGTAATGGTACTAATACACCCGGAAACATTATTAAAGCATTTTGTAAAAGTTCATTAGCAGAAGATGTATTGCCTAAATGAAAATGAGCTAAAGCTAAACTGAATGCTATATTTGGCAATTGAGTTAAATTTCTTGTATTATCCCAAAGATTGCAAAATTCAATAAACCATTCATATTCTTTTGCTCTTAAAGCATAGAAATCAAGGGAAAGAATCACAGCTAATGGGTCACCTTCTGGATCAAGTGATAAAAGTAATTTACAAAATTCCAAACTTGTTCTGAAATGTGAATAAGTTTGAAAAAAATTAAAAAAAGCATTAAAATTTTATTTCTTACCTGTAACATGCACGACCACCAACAAAATTAAGATGTTTAAATAAAGTTATAAATAAAGCACGATTTTGTTGTTTTTTATAGTCTAATCTGCAAAGGGCAGTTGTAAAGTTAAACAGCGGATGAAAAGCACATTCTAAACAATATAAAGCTCTTTCTGTAAATTCTGCAGCCATTGCTAAATCTTCGTTGAGTTTACAAAGTTCAGCTAATTGTAATAATGCATCAACATGATAAGAATGTGCATTGATTATACTCTAAAAGAAAATATCATAAATTTCAATTCTTTTATATATTATTTTTTGATATTTAAATTAATACATTTAAAATAATATAAATTAAATTTAGATATAACATACAACAATATTTTCAGGATTCAAACTTTCAACTGCTTCCAAAAATTTTAACTGAATTTGTCTATATGATGGACTGTGATCATATATAAAATATTGAATATTATTGGTAGATGATATAGTATGATCCAAAGACATTGAAAGCCCAGATTTATTAATTGGTGGCCAATTATCTCTAGCAGAAACTAACCAAGTTTTTTTCAAATGACCTAATCGACCTCTATTTCTTCTATTACTGTTAAAATTAACAAGATTTAATTATATTATTTATTTTATATCTACAACAAATATATATATTATAAAAACAAACTTTTTAATAATAGAAACATACTTTTGTTCAGCTTGTACTGTTTTACTACCAAAAATTCTTTTAAGTTCATTATATGGATTTAAGTGTTTATGTTGTACTAATAAAATATCTTCTTTAGATTTTTGTTCAATCCATTGTAAATTATCTATGTTTTGAGAGCTACAACTTGGAAGTGGTTCCCCAAGTAATTTATTTATTTCTCTTACTGTTCTTTCAATTTCATCTACATCCTCTTCTTTAGATTCAATTTGAGCTTTAGAACTTTCAAATTTCTTTCGTTTCTTCTTTTTTTTCTTACGTTTAACTTCATTGATACAATTTTTATCTATCACTTGTTCTTCTTCATTTTCTTCCTCACTAATTTCAGAATTTTGATTCAACTAAAAAAAAAAAAAAATAAATTTATTAATATTAAATAACGTATTAAAATGTATATTCAGAAGATTCAAAAAAAAATTTGAACATTAACATTATTAAAACATTAAGTAATTATGCAAACAAATGAAAAGTTATTTATTAATTAAAGCACTTTGAACACATACCACATCAAACAAGTTGAATGTCTTAGATTTAACATTGCCAATTATTGAATTGTCTATCTCATTCTCATTTTCACTATTCTTTTCGGATAATATATCGCTTCCATATACTTTTTTCATATACCGTGTAGACATTTTGAATGAATTTAATTTTTAATCTAAAAGTAGATAAATCGATTGAAAAATAGTTTGGAAAATTATACAATTTTTGTAAATCTTAAAAATTAAATACACCACGATTATTAATTTCCTTCATTTACCACAAATTCCTGATAAAATCAAAATCTCTCTTCACTTGTCAATTTTCTTCAAATATACAAGTGCAATTGCTGTAAATGTATGGAACTATTCATTACTATTGATACAGCTTATATGAATCATGTTACATGTATCGTAGTTCACTACAATTGTCAATCAAGTTCTGCCAACATTTGTATAATTTTAAAAGTTGCTAAATCGTCAAATGCGAAAGACGAAAGTTAAAAATGACATATTCTTAGTTATTTGATATTGATTTTCATTAACATATCCATGTATTATTTATTGAAAATGTTTTTATTATTATGAAATTTTTTATCAAATGGAAGAATAAAAAGTACTTTACTGTTCTATCATTTGACATTACATTCATTTAACTTTCTAGCAATATGTTATCTACCAGAAGGTGACGCCACAAAAAAGCACAAATACCATACGTTTTCTGTGTTTTATTATTTTATTCGATTAATTTATTATATTACCAAAATGAATTTAAAAAACGTTAAAAATAGACTAAAAGACGAAACATTAGATCTTAGCTTGTGCGACCTGAAAGAAGTGCCTGTTCGAGAAATCGTATGTTTAAAAATTTATATTTGATTTAATTTGACACATGTTCAATTTTTGAAGTAATTTTATTTAATTTGATTTAAAATATCAATATCGCATATTAAATATATTTTTGTATTGTTTTACACTATAAAATTATAATATATTTATGATATATTTATGATATAATATATATCATATATATTATATATATAATAATATATATCATATTATTATATTAATATTATATTTATTATAAATATATATAATGCTAAATTCAAATATTAAATATTTATATTATATTATATTTTTCAGGCAACTATCAAAAAAGCAACAATTTTGGATTTATCAAATAATCTCTTAACATTTTTACCTGTAAGTTTTATTATTTTTATTTAATAAATGAAATATACATATATTTTTTATTATAAATAATTACTTTCAGAATACTTTCGTTGATCTTAAACAAATAGTTAAATTGGATCTTAGTAAAAATATGTTGACAGAAATCCCTGAAAATTTTGGAGAATTGAGACAACTGAAACATTTGGATCTTTATGCAAATCAAGTAAATTAAAAATAACATATTAAATATTTTTAAAGTAAATTTAAATTATAAATAATAGAAAAATGATTTTACAGATAAGCAGATTACCACTTAGTTTAAGTGAATTAAAAAATTTAAGATGGTTAGACTTAAAAGAAAATCCTTTAACTCTTGCTGTAGCTAGTGTTGCTGGTCCCTGTAGTAATTTGAGTGAATGTCAAGCTTGTGCTCGCAATATTGTTTCTTACTTATCATATGTTAAAGTTACTATTGAGGAAGAAAAATTACGAAGATTAAATGCTACTATTACAGGTAAATTTTAAAAATAAAATATATAAATCTTTAAATAGTTTTTATATAATATACATT